GTGATTCGACCGAAACTTATTTTATTTCAGTTCATTGCCAAGACTTTTTTTCTTATTTTGCAGGTTTCAAATTTAATATAATATTTTGTTTAAATTTCAATTCTAAAGTTTCTTCTAATATTATAAATATTATAAAATTATTATTAAATAATTTTATTTTATTTCGGCTTTGTTTCAATGAGCAAAAACAGTGTTTTAATAGTTTCAGTTTAAATTAACAATGACAAAACTGCGTAAGAGTTATGTGAGCATAGAGCAAGTTTCTTCCTTGTAAAGTTTCCTCCTTTTTGTATTGTTTTCAGGCCTCAAAGCCTGTTCAGCGACCTGAATCCTGTCTCTGAGACTGTATCCAACACAGTTTGAAATCTACAGACCACCAGTTGCATGTTTAAAGTTAATATCCAATCATTTTATGACAATTCCAGATCCTATGCACTTCAAGCATAGGACCCTGGAAACATTGATTTGCTTTCTACAGTCTGTTTTGGCTGGTCAGTAGCCCAGATCAAAGTTTATTACAACACTGCACACATTTTAATAAGAAAGTTTAACATTATCCTTTTCTTTTACTAACATACAAAGATCATGTGCTAAAACAGGATGTTTCTTCTGGGACTAATCAGGATGTCCCCACATATATTTGCTTTCTGTGTAACTGTTGAGAAAGTCAGAATAACTGTTGTGCAGAATAAAAGGATGTGCTGACAAACAGAGGAACTGGCCTTCTGACACCTTCTTTAAACACATGCTAGACTGCTAGCATACAGTGTCACATATTATGGCGAGACAGGAAACATGAGGCAGAGACATCTGACCTCATAAGCTTTCAATTACAACAGTCAATCGCCTTGTTAGCAAAGGTCCTTTGCTCTAGACTGCATGAAGAAGCAGGGCCAACTAATCTTAAAATACAGTTTTAAGATGATTCAGCTAAAGAAACTGTTTTTATTTGTAGTTATCGTACTGAAAGATTAGCTTTCAGTACGATAACATTTTAGTCTGTCATCTAAATTCGCATGACTGGAAATAGCTGCCCAGGGCGTTGCCATGATTGCCAAATGGACCGAATTTTTACTTTAAAATGACATTTCATGAACTCAGCCTTTTGACTTCGTTACTGCATTTCTATTGACCAACTGTGAAAGTCAATTTTGCAAAGAGCAGAAGTCCACGTCTTTCGCAATCAAGATCTTTTCAAGTGTTTAAGAACCAACACATAACTGTGTATTGCATCTTGAGTTGGCATAAGTTGGTCTGACGTTCAGCTAATTTGATAAAATTTTGATGGATTGGTAGATGAATCTGTTTGACTCTTCATGTATCTGCATTAAATGGTTATAAGGTTACATTAAGACCTAATGTACACTACCATTCAAACGTTTGTGGTCAGAAAGATTTATTTTTTTTAAAGAAATTAATACTTTTATTCAGCAAGGATGCATTAAAATGATCAAAAGTGACAGTAAAACATTTGAATTGTTACAAAGGATTTGTATTTCAAAAACAAAATACTGTATTTTTATTTATTTTAAACACAGTATTTTTGATCAAATAAATGCAGCCTTAGTGAGCATAAGAGTATAATATCTTTCAAAAAATCGTACCAGCCTCAGCCTTTTGAATGGGAAAGAACATGGTAGCATTAGCCCGACTGGTTTCTTTTGTAGCTAAAGTAGGCCTATATATTGCTAAAGACGTTTTGTTTGAAGGGTTTCTGTAAGTGTTTTATGAGTTTCAGCACACACAGGCTTGGCATCTGAGAGAGCGTCGTTAAAAGTTGGATTACAGCATGTTCTTAGACAGACATGACCAATGCGTTTCCTCCTAACCCATATCTGTCAGCTCTTTGTATTCTGAAATCAATCTTAAAATGGGTTAGAGTTATTTTTTAAAAGATCTAAAAGTAGGTTCGCGTGCATGGACCGTTTATTACATTGTCGTAACATAAGCAACTGGTCAAACATTCTTGAACTCACACCTTTTGAAAGACTCTTTGTATTAAGATGTTCCTCGTGTTTGCAGACGCTTACAGTTTAAGCCGTGACAACCCCACTATGTCAATTCATCCCATGCCTTTGCTACACAGTTTGTCCTTACTTTCCATGCAGGGGGTATGCAGGATTTTAATTACCTGAAGGGGAGCTGTTTGGAAATCACTATGGAGCTCAGCTGCTGCAAGTACCCACCCTCAACTCAACTCAAAACAGAATGGGACAACAATCGGGAGGCCCTGCTGGCCTACATGGAGAAGGTAGTAGAACTTGATGTGCAAACAATGACATGCATGGAGAGTTTTTAATGAGCCCTTGAAGAATGTCAACAAGAATGTCAGAGTTTCCGTCTTGTTGTTGTTGTGTGTGTGTTCAGATTCATATCGGTGTGCGTGGCTTTGTCAGAGCAGCCAGGAATGATGCCCCTCTCGCAGATGCTGTGATAATGGTTGCGGGCATTAACCACAAAGTGAGCACTTCACGCTTTGGTGACTACTATCGCCTGCTGCTGCCCGGCACCTACAACATCACAGTTTTAGCCCCGGGGTACGTATGGTACATATTTATGAGGGAAAACTGTATGTGCGGATTCTATATTCTGAGGACAGTCCTTTGGTTTTCGTACATCATATGGTTAGGGCTGGGTAAAAATATTGATGTTTTTAGATGGCTGTGTGCAAATCTATTTGTACAGCACTGCCCGTTACATAATAATAATAATAATAATGTTATATAATTATATTGATTATATCGCAACCATAATTATAAAACTATAATCCAATTCAGAAACAAATGACTCTTATGAACTGGTTCTTTTTAGTGAATTATGAACATGACCAATGTACTCAGATTCACAAGCACATGACTCTTATGAGCTTTTTCTTTTTTTTAGTAAATCAAAAACATACAGGATAACAAATGTAGTCATTCGCAAACAAATGACTCTGATGAGATGATACTTTTTAGTGAATCATTAACATACAACATCACCAATGTAGCCAGATTCACAAAGAAATGACTCTTATGAACCAATTCTTTTTAGTAAATCAGAAACATACAGCATCAACAATGTAGTCAGATTCACAAATGAATGACTCCTGTGAGCTGATTCTTTTTTAGTGAATCATAAACATAATCATCAATCAAAAGCATACAGTATGACCCATGTAGTCATATTTACAAACAAATGACTCTTAAGAGCTGATTTATTTTTTGTAAATCCAAAACATACAGTATGACCCATGAAGTCACATTGACAAACAAATGACGCTTAAGAGCTGATTCTTTTTTAGTGAATCATAAACATACAACATGACCAGTGCTGCCAGATTCACAAACAAATGACTCTTATCAACCAATTCTTTTTTTAGTAAATCAAAAACATACAGCATGACCAATGTAGTCAGATTCACAAATAAATGACTCCTGTGAGCTGATTCTTTTTGTTAGTGTATCAAAAAAACATACAGCATGACTAGTGCAGTTAGATTCATGAACAAACTCTTCTAAACGGTTTAATTTTGGTGATTGAAAAACATACAGCACAACCACTATAGTCTGATTTATGAACAAATGACTCTAATGAACCGGTTCTTTTTAGTGAATCAAAAACGTGTAGCATGACCAATCTGGTCAGGTTCTTTTTTTTGTGAATCCAAAACATACAGTGTGACCAGTCTAGTTTAATTCATGAACAAATGACTCTTATGAACCAGTTCTTTTTAGTGAATCAAAAACATATGCCATGGTATATCATTTGTGAAGTCAGATTCACAAAGAAATTACCCTAATGATTCTTTTTTTTAGTGAATCAAAAACATTCAGCGCAACCAGAAAGAGAATGTCTTTTATGTGTAAGCAAAGTGGACATTATAACTGAAATATACCCAAAAGAATTGAATCAAGTGAATAATTTATGTTTTCCTTCTGTGTGTTTCATGTCGATTTTTGCATTCATGCAGCTACATTCCCATGTCCGTGGCTGGAGTGGAGGTGACTGAGGGAAAAGCAGCTGTTCTGAACATCACCCTTGAAGCTGAGAATGATGAGAATCCAGCCACCCTCTCAATCCCAGAGTCCCCCACTGAAACCTCTGTGAACAGTGCCAGCACAGACAGCAGCAGCAGCACCGGTGTCAACGAAGCAGCAGATGAAGAGAAGGACTCCAGGGTTACAGTCCAGCCTCAGGACTTCCGCCATCACCACTACAACGACATGGAGCTGTTCCTGCAGAAGTTCAGCTCTGAGTACAGCTCCATCACACGGCTGTATTCCATCGGAAAGTCTGTGCAGGAACGTTCCCTGTGGGTCATGGAGATCTCCAACAATCCTGGTGTCCACGAGTTTGGTACTTCCCACCATGTGTAAAGATCCTACATCTTTAAAAGTCAAACAGCTTTTAAAGTGAACTAATCCCGTCGTTCCTCACCAGGTGAACCGGAGTTTAAGTATATTGGTAACATGCACGGCAATGAGGTGGTTGGTCGGGAACTGCTCCTCAACCTTATCGAGTACCTTTGTCGCAACTATGGCACTGACCCTGAGATCACCCAGCTCATCAACTCCACACGGATCCACATCATGCCTTCAATGAACCCAGATGGATATGAAGTGTCCCAGGAGGGTATGGTTTCGCCAACTCTGACAAACAGCTCATTATACACATTTGATGTATTATGATGTACTTGCTGTTAAATGCATCTCTCTTTGCTCAACATTCCATTTTTTACTAATATTATAACATCACATGTGACAGAAATAGCCAGCCTCGAACTGTATTGAATGTTTGGAATATATGTTATATAATAATACATTTATTATTATTATTATTATTATTATTATTATTATTATTATTATTGTTATTGTTATTATTTCTTTAAAATATTATATGTAATGTTGCTACCATAATGGTAATAATAAAAATGTATTTGTTATTATTATTATTTCTTTAAAATATTATATGTAATGTTGCTACCATAATAATAATAATAATAATAATAATAAATGTATTTATTATTATAATTCTGACATAATTATTGCATGGCAGCAGCATTATCTATTAATAATATATTATTATTAAAATCAGTATTCACAGTAATCCTATTGTTGTTATAATATTATAATAACAATAATAATAATAAATTATTTTTCTGTCTGTGTTGGAGCCGCGTTAAAACTACAAGAACATAATTCCAACATCTATTATTATTATTATTATTAATAATGATAATAATACAAAAATAATACTATATTTTATTAATGTCAGTAATAATATAACATTAAATTATTAATTTAATTGAAATATTGATTTTAATACATTATTATTACTATTATTATTATTATTATTATTTCATTTTTCTGTCTGTGTTGAACCAACATTATAACTACAAGTACATTGATGCTGATGATAATAATAATATAATAAAAATATATATATTTTTATTATTAGTATTATCATCAATAATAATACTAATACATTATTTATTTATTTATTTTTCTGTCTATCTGTGTTAGGAGCAACATTATAACTGTGGAAATATAATGTAAGGAAAACACTGTCTTTTGTGCAGGAGATATCAGTGGTGTCCAGGGACGTAACAACACTAACAACTATGACCTGAACCGAAACTTTCCTGACCGGTTCAACTTTGTCACGGATCCCAGACAGCCAGAGACCCTTGCTGTTATGAACTGGGCCAAAAGCTACCCGTTTGTGTTGTCTGCCAACCTTCATGGAGGTACGTCCTAATCTATAAAAGTTGTGTTTGATTGGGAGAATGCTAAACACAGACAGATAACCTCTCTATCTCTATCAGGCTCTTTGGTGGTGAATTATCCATTTGACGACAATCCGGACAATGTTAGCAGATACAGCAAGTCCTCAGATGATGATGTATTCAGGATGGTGGCTCTTGCTTACTCACAGGTGAATATCTGGCTTTCTGATTTCTGTAGTAACAAATTATGTTAAGTAGTATATTTAATCATTAAAAGCTAAATCAATAGCCAGTAAAACATTCTCTGTTTTTCTTTTTCAGGAAAACTCTCAAATGTATGATGGTCACTCCTGTAAGGGAATGGATTTGTACCAAGAATATTTTAAAGATGGCATCACCAATGGTGCTGAATGGTACAATGTCCACGGTGAGCACCAAGTTTGTGGGAAAAAAATTATGAATAACTAAAAAAGGAAACTTTGAATCGACAGACGCCTGCAAACTGCTTACTTTTATTTAGTTAATATTGCCATCACAAAATAATATCCTGAAAAAAAGGTGTATAAAATATACACCTAGTAAGTAGTAAGTAAATATAAGTGCATTATGTGCTTTTCCCTCAGGAGGGATGCAGGACTGGAACTACATCAACACTAACTGTTTTGAGGTGACCATTGAACTGGGATGTTACAAATACCCACCAGCAGCAGATCTACCAAAGTACTGGGAACGAAACCGCAGATCACTTCTACAGTTCATCCATCAGGTAAGACTGTCTGGCTGCTTCTTTTGCATTTTGTTCACCTCTATCCTGCTACACACTGTATACAATATGTTTTTGGGCATTCAGGTACACCGGGGAGTAAAAGGAGTGGTAATCGACAGTAAAGATGGATCTGGCATCCCCAATGCTACAATCACTGTGGACGCGATTAATCACCCCATCACTTCCAACTTTGCAGGGGACTACTGGCGCTTACTCGTCCCAGGAAAATACCATCTGACTGCTTCTGCCCAAGGGTATTTTTGTGAATTTTCTGCACTAACAGTGGCACCAAACTAATTTTCAAAAATAAGATTTTTCCCAAACATACGGAAGCTCACAGAGGCCATTAAATGAGTTGTGGTCAACTTTTTTTTTTAGTGATATGTTGATATAAAGTTCATTTAAATAAACTTAATTAAATATATTAAAAAATAATTAAAAATAAATTCTTAATTGTATTTATTTTATTATTTTTATTAATTAATTTACTTTTATTTTTACAACAATAAAGAATAATTCAGGACCGTGGATTTAATATTTTTTATTATATGTTTTTTATTATATATTTTTATATACAGGTCATTTAAATAAATAATCATTGTATTCGCCCCCACATATCTACGTCGCTATGTGGGAAGATTTGCATAACGCCGCCCAAATGTTCACTCGAAGAAAGAAGGCATAACTTTTATTCTCGCTGTAGTATTGCTGTTGCTGCCGCCGCCATGTCGTGAAGGCGCTGTGTGTTTCGTTGTGAAAGCGAAACTACTTTGTTTGGTCTTCCAAAAGAGGACGATATCCGCTTCGTCATGCCTAGAGCTGATCCGTGCTGGTTGCTGAAGAAATACATCAACTTCACGTGGTCGATCGCCGGATCGGCTTTCACCGTGGATTTTTTTTTGTTTAACAGCCCTAAAGAGTAATTCAGGACCATGGACATTTATTTAGATTTTTCTTTGTGCATAAGATTGTAAATTTCTCACACTTTCTCTTCCATCTTTTCAGCTACTCCTCAGTTAGCACCTTTGTCAACGTGCCTAAGGAAGGAGTGGAGATTGTTAATTTCACATTGAACCGGATTCACAGTTACACCAATGGGCAGACGACAGAAGACACCACCCCAGTTCTGGATCCCAGTGTGAAGGAGTTCCAGAGCCTCATCAAGCAGCTGTCAGGAGAATCTGGTCTGGACAAGCTGATCAAGGACACTCCCACCCAGAGTAGTTTCCGCTATCGATGCTACAGTGAGGTTTCCGAGTTCCTGCGTGGCCTCACCCTGAACTTCCCAGAGATTACCTCACTCCAAAGGTACAACACTCACTCACACAAGTTAGATTCAGTGTATGCAAACTGATCATGAGGGACTTTAAACACAGAAGTTCTCTGGAGAGATATTATACACACACGTGTGCCATGCCTTTCCCTCAGAGAACACTGTTAAAATGAACAAAAGTATGAGTCAAATTATCTGATCTCTGCAGACAAGCCTGAACCGAATCCTATGTGTTTCTGTGACCGTAAACCCCGGAGGGCAAAGGATCTTTCGGAATGACAGAGATTAATACCTCTGCATTCAGTACACAATGAAGTTACTGTGTGAACTGTATTATTTGTCTCACTGTAGCTTAGTCCCAGAAGTTATATTTGGAAATTATAGCTTGTGCTGAACCAAGTTTAAGGTCGCCACGTTTAAATTACCAGAGAAGGAAATGCAGTACTGTTCAGATTTAAGATTAAGATTTTTTTTTATTTTTTAAGAAATTAGTATGTTGATTCAGCAAGGATGTATTAAATCAATCAAAAGTGAAGTAAAGATTTTTGTATTTTTACACACAAAAAAAAAAACGATTTCAAATAAATGGTGCTCTTTTGAACTTTCATCAAAAATCCTGAAAAAAAATGTATCATGGTTCCCACAAAATATTAAGCAGCACAACTGTTGCAGTAACATGATATTTATTTTTCTCCCCTATGAAGTCTTGGTCAGAGTGTGGAGTTCAGAACTGTCTGGGCTCTGGAGATCTCCAACAACCCTAAAGTCCAAGAACCGTCTGAGCCCAAGATCCGCTTTGTGGCAGGTATTCATGGTAACGCCCCTGTGGGTACAGAGCTGCTTCTGGAGTTTGCTGCCAGTCTCTGTATTAACTACGGAAAGAATGCAGCCATCACAAGGGTGAGTTGATTTTCTTGTGCAAAAGTGATGCCCATGATGGTTACAGTATGATCAGGTCATGGTACACGTGTCCTTTTGCTGAGAAATCTTTGCTGATTTTTATAACGTAAACCCACAAATAACTTGTATTGTTAGTAATATTTCGAGAAACACTTAATAGACTTAAGCAACACAGGTTCACTTGATTATTGTGTTTAATTGTGAATATCAAATGTGATCCATCAGACTTTTGAGGAGCATTATTTGTTCATCTCTCAATCATTGTATTGCATTGCATCATACGTTTTGACCCCGCAATAAAAAAACTACAGAGCTTTGATTATAAAAATTTTAAAAGATCATGTTATAAAGATATATTGTTGACAGATATAGAGACAACTGGCATTTTTATGCATTTAAGTAGTCTAAATATCTCATTGATTTACATGACAAGCTATCAGAATTTTATTGTACTTTTTGGTAATGTAAATATCAGCAACTGCTCCAAATTGCATATCTGAATAAAATTGAGGTATTTTTTTCTTCCTTGAGTGTGAGCTACATATTCTTGTATATTACACTATAGACCAATTTCAGTGTTTGCAAACAGTGATGACGTTTTAGTGGGTGGAGCCTATCTGGTGGCAGAAAATGACCGTTTTAATGTAGCAGTCTATTCAAGCCATGGAATAAAATAATAAAAATGTAATTTTGAGTTTATATTTCAAAATTTTGACTTTTTTCTTGCAATTCCAAGATTATATCTCAAAATTCTGGTAAGAAAAATCCACTCGTCATTCTTTGTTTTTTAGTTTATAATCCCACACTTCTGGCTTTTTTTCCTCAGAATTGACAAACTCGCAATTGTTGACTTGAATTCTATTCCAAATTGGTCTATATGCGCTGTAAAACAAATGCATGATGTATCCTATTATCAATCTAAACAGCAAGTATGAACAAAAAACACATATACGACACTTACACCATAGACATTCATTGCAAGTCCCATTCTAAATAGATTTGCCTTTTTTTTTCTTTTACAAACAAGTCAAAATCACTTCTGGTGTATATCAACAGCATTGGTTTCCTTGGTTACCACAGGAAATTACTTTAAATGAAGCCAAAATGCTCAAGAATGTTTCTAACATGGTGTCTCTCTCCTGTCTTTAGCTCATCAATGAGACCAGAATTGTTATCCTGCCCAGCATCAACCCAGATGGGCGAGAGCTGGCGAAAGAGAAAGACTGCACCTCCACTGCTGGCAAGACCAATGTGCACGGCAAAGACCTTGACAATGACTTCTTCGGTGGGATTGAGCTCAAATTTGACCTCACATTTCACTAACATGTGTGTCAATGCCAGCACAGGATGGCTGACCATTTACAGTATGTGTCGTTCTGTAGGTAATGCATCTCAGCGTGCTGCAGAACCTCAGCCAGAGACACGTGCCGTTATGGATCTGATACAGGAAAGAGGCTTCACTCTCTCTGTGGCTCTGGATGGAGGCTCCGTTTTGGTCACCTACCCATATGACAAACCAGTGCAATCTGGTATGTTTTGATTCATCCTCTGCTTTAGGAAATGACAAATTTATTGTATCGGTGTCTTGATTTGTTTTTGTTTTGTTCCTTGTTTCTCAATTTCAGTTGAAAATGCCGATACGCTGAGATATTTGGCTACTGTGTATGCCAACCACCATCCCAAAATGCATTCGGGTGACACTGGATGTCCAAACAGCCAGAGTATGCTGATTTCTTCCATTCATACTTCAAGTTTTTAAAACAACAGTTTATCTTTTCAGTAACAGGAAAATTCTCAGCATGTAACATTTTAAAATCAAACAGCCTCTGCTCTGTTAAATTTATTCGTAGAGGAACCATTTTTAGGTTGATGTTATAAATTATTTCTCTTTGTCACTGTCTCCCTCCAGTGGGCACCATCCCTAATGGTGTGCTTCGAGCAGCAGAATGGCACAGTCACATGGGCAGCATGAAGGTAGATTACATACTGTTAAGATTTTTTAAATGTTTTTTTAAAAATAAATCTTACATAAAGCTGCATTTATTCATTGAAAAAAAAAAATACAGTAAAAACAGTAATATTGTGAAATATTATTACAATTTAAAATAGCTGTTTTCTATTTTAATATATTTAAAATGAATTTTATTTCTGTGATGGCAAAGCTGCATTTTCAGCAGCCATTGCTCCAGTCTTCAGTGTCACATGATCTTTCAGAAATCATTCTGATATGCTGATTTGGAGCTCAATCATTTTTTTTTATTATCAATGTTGAAAACGTTTGTGCTGCTTAATATTTTTGTGGTAAACATGCTCATTTTTTAATAGAAAAAAAAATAGTTCAAAAGAACAGCATTTATTTGAAATAGAAACATCATAAATTTGTAACATTATAAATGTATTTATTTTCACTTTTTATCAATTTTAATTTGTCCTTGCTAAAAAAAAAATACTTATTTCTTTAAAAAAAAATCTTATTGACCCCACACTTTTGAAGGGTAGTGTAGTTTTGTTCAGATTTTAAAAATAAGTACATATCTTGAAATCTGACTGTGTTGGTTTCTGTCTAATTTAGCTAGCTTCTACCAAGTGACAGATTAATTTTTGCAAAAAAATACCATAAAGTTGGATTGGACACACAGCTTTGAATGACAAAACATTAAATCATATGGGAAGCGTTTTGCTATTCTAATCTTTTTTTTTTTTTGCATTTTGCATTTTGCATTTTGCATTTAGCTTGTTTTTTTTTTAACTGCTCTCTGCAGTACAATCAGAACAGACCTGAAGCCTATTTTTGGTCATGACCAACTAATTTACAATAATTTATAAAATCTTAATTCCTTCTAATAATTTCTGATTTTAATTTCTCTCTGATTGCTTTAATTTCTCTCTGATTGCTTTCCTCTCCATGTTGTAGGACTTCAGTGTGGACTTTGGCCACTGTCCCGAGATCACTGTCTACACCAGCTGCTGCCTGTTCCCACCGGCTGAAATGCTGCCCACGCTATGGGCTGAGAACAGGAAGTCTCTTCTGAGCATGCTGGTTGAGGTCAGTACGTTGTCCTCCTCTCTGCCTTTCTGTTTATCACACTCCACTGCATCTCAGCTCTTCCTTTGCTGAAGCTGGTTCCTCTGTTCTAGGTGCACAAAGGGGTTCGTGGAGTGGTCAAGGATAAGAACAGTAAGCCCATCGTGGGTGCTATAATAGTATTAAATGGTGGTGTTCGAGTCTTCACCAGTGAGGGAGGTTATTTTCATGCCCTTCTGGCCCCTGGTTTACACAACATTGAAGCGGTGGCTGACGGCTACCAGCAACAGTCCCAGAAGGTGAGTTTTGTTGTTGTTGTTTTTTTGTTTGTTTTTGTTTGGTTGGGTTTTTTGTTTGTTTGTTTGGGTTTCTTTGTTTAGGTTTGTTTTTGGTTTGGTTTGATTTTTGTTTGTTTGTTTGTTTTTGGTTTGTTTTTTGTTAGGTTTGTTTTGTTTTGATTTATTTTATTACAGAATATTTTGTTTAATCAAACTGTACAATAATATAAAATGCAGTATAATAATGAATATAATATACTATCAGTTTTTTCTTATTTTTCTACATACTGTATATAATACAGAATATTGAGTTTAATTAAAGTGTATAATAATGTATAATACAGTATAATAATGAATATAGTTTATTTGAAATATAATTAAAAATTTTTATTTTATTTTTTATTAAAAATTAAGTGAGATCTATTCATTTATTTCTTTATTTTCCACTGTTCCTGTTGCTCTTTTCAGGTGTCTGTGTCACCGTTTGAAGCAGCAAGTTCCATTATCATTGAATTTGACATGGAGAACGATATATTTGGCCTTCCAAGAGAATTAGTTGTGGCCAGCGCAGGTAGGCAGATCAAATCTCTAAAGTACTCTATATTGATTGTGTTCGCAGTTCTAACCAACCATTTTGTTAAATGCTACATTAATGTGCAAATATTCAATGGCTGATCTTTTTCATTATTCAATCCCTAGCTGCTGCAATGACGGCCTTGGTTGTGACAGCCTGCATCATCTGGTGCATCTGCTCAGCAAAGTCAAACAGACAAAAAGATGGATTCCATCGGCTTCGACAGTACCGGGACGACTATGACGATGAGATCCGCCTCATGTCTATGGGCTCCAAAAAGTCTCTCCTGAGCCACGAATTTCAAGATGAGAGTGAAAGTGAGGAGGATACGCTTTACACCAACAAACTTTGAGACCTTACTGCTACCTCTCCTCCCCCTGAGTCTGTCCACACTGCCTGCAGGGCCAGTAGAGGGCGCTCAATGGCCAGCAGCCGGTATTGTCCAATCTATTGAAACCTGAGAACCACCGTGGGATGCACTTTAATGCCCTGTTGAAATCGGGCGAGCGTTTTGCACCGTAGTGTATGCAACCACTGCTCTCAACCAGCCTGCTTAGTTATCTGGGTCTTTATAAAACCGGTCCTCTACCCTTGGAAAAGGAAACCGAACAGCTAGAATCCATCTCAACAGGATTATGAAACACTGTGCCTTGTTAGATTAGAGGTTGCATGGTCGCTGCTGTTGTGAGGATGATGATTTTGTAGAGTAAATGGAATTTTGCTCCTCTTTTTTCTGTGGGCCCGGATCAAAGTCAGGAATCAATTCATCTGAGAATCTGGTCTGCTCATTGGCTTTGAGTTTAAGTTTATGAAAAACACACTGCTGTGTTGCTTGTTATTTGCAATCATATAGCCAACATAGTGGCCCAAATATTTCACATTTTGCAGAGTTACCCGTCCAATCTCAAATGTAGATATTTACATTAAACAAGGTGACACATTAGATACGTAGCAGACAAACATGCTCATTCACTGCCTTCCCATTTCTCCTCTGTTATTTTGACATTCAGGGATATGGTGAAACAATAATAACTTCACACGGACATCATAGTGTTTACTCAGTGTGTCTGGATTCTTTTGTCTTAATGTGCACTCTTGAAAATGTTGTCCGTTTTGTTAATTTTAAAAAATATATATTTATTTTTGTTTTAACATCCATCCAGCGAAACATTGATTTTGCTCACCGGCTCTCAGGCATCCCAAAAAGATCAGAAAAAAACAGTGCTGTCAACTTTATTCATGTAGTTGATATTATTTGCAATTCAGGAAACGAATTAAAAGCATATAGTGTATATTTAGGCATCATCGTCTGATCAATATCTGCATCCTAGATCTTCTCTTCCAAAAAACCTTTAAAACATTGGTGATCATTTGAAAACATACATATAGTATATATATAAATTGTTCAAATGCATTAAAGCACTGCAGTATGTTTCCTCCATGACTGGATGAGGCTTTGATTGTGTGACACATTGAGCAATCTGAAACCAGCAGAACACCTGCGAGTATTTCTTACTGTGAGCAGGCAGCTTCACTCTGTCACTGTTATGAATCAGTGAATCATTTTCTGAATCATTCTACCCTCTAAAAGTTACACGTATGATTTGGATATAGAAGATGAAGATGATGAGACTGGTGGGGCATTCTTCATGCTTTTAACAGAGAAAAGCAACAAACACCCTATTAAAACTCTTAATGGAAGATTCAGATTTTTATTTATAATTCATATCATTCTGTGCCAGTCTGACCATTCATACAAGTCTAATGTTAGTAAGTGGGAAAAGAATGTTTCTATGATTTATTTAGTCATTGATCCTATTACCAACAAAATTTTAATTTAATTTGGCTTGATGTTGATTGTCATGCTTGAATGTAAATTTCTGGGTGTGTTTGAACAAATATGTAACTTTTCTGTTTGTGCTGATGTTTATTTTTTTCTTTTTATACAACAATGATTGTAGATATCGAATTGTTGCCAACTATATGTAAATTACACAAGTGCAATTTCTATCAAGAGTGAAAGAACTGCACAAATAAAGCTGTTTATGTGTATTAAAGAAATGGTGTGTAATGAGATGTAAATAAAAATGAATCTTTGTTCAGAATATTTGAAGTGTTCTTTAAAATGATCATGTTTTTAATGCAGTCGAACAGTATTTTTGATGGGAGTTAGGCAGTTTCTAACTCTGTCTATATATAAAAAAAGAAAGTGGGAACTCAAATCCATGGACTAAAGAATATGGATATAATATGACCAAATCATCTACAGCAGGGATGAGCATTTTTAAGATCCCAGTAGATCCTTTAAGATCCTAATAATGTATTATATATGAAAATGTTTGCATATGTATATATTAAAAAATATATATATTTTGTATTTATTGAACATGTAAATTGACATTAAGGCATATTGATTGTGTGTGTGTGTGTTACATGCTAGTTATATAACATATTATTTTATATAAACTAAAATAAATATGTTTAAACTATGCTTTCACTAAAGATAAAATACAGGAAAACTTGAAGGCCAAAGGAGAGTGCGTTTCTCCAGAACAGCACGTGAGGGAGCTGTGAGGTCAGAGAGCAGTGAAGCGCTCGTGCAGCGCTCGTGAAGCGCTCTTGCTCGAGTCTCCGCCGCTGCCAGCAGCACCGCGGATGACGTTGAACAACAAAGATGGCAGGAGGAAACAGCAACTATTGGGAAGGTGAGGTGGCAAAGCGTTACAAATTCAGCTCGACCAAAAGCTTTACTGCGCTTTGTGACAGCTCACGCCAATTCCTTGTTCTGAACAGTCTTTGGCGACGTTTCCATGAAAACGCTGTCAGGTTACCCCGTTAACTATCGCCGTTAGCATTAGCTCGCTAGTTCGCACAAACGTCAGTGCTTCCGATTAGCCCAAAAACCTGAGGAATACAGCGAGACATCTTTCATATCTCTTACTTTAAACATTTGTCAGATGGTTTTCATTTTATACAGACTTTCTGTATTTAATGTAACACGAACATATATAAGCTGTGAAAAAAGTTAAGCAGCTGTTTGTATATGAAGCTGGAACAAGATTATTCACCAAAATAAAATAAACTCATGGGCCGTATTTCAAAATTTTAATTTGTTATTTTTTTTATTTTAAAAACTGCTTTCCTAGACAGCACTTGAGGGCTTCATATCCACGTTTTGAATGTTTGTGACTCTGTAGACTGTGGTGACAATAAATATGAACTGTCAACGACCAGGTAGACTAATATGAATGTTTTGTCTTTTATAAGCATAAATAACTACCAGCTTAAATTGTCAGTGATATGCTGTGTATAATTTTATAACATTTTCTGATGTTATTTTGTTATCTAATGTAAACTGTCACTAACTCTGGAGATGCTGTCTTATATTTTTGAATGTATATATCCACTGAAATGATTTACTGAATGTAATCTTTATTTTATTGCATGTTGACAGACCTGGCATTAAATATCGCATGCGATTTATCGTGCAGCCCTAATATATAGTTTTTTTTACTTCGTATGAATTAAAAAAATACTGAAAATCCACAATAATATTAAGCAGCAAAAATTTCTAATTATTGATAGTAATAAGAAGAAATGTTTCATGTGCACCAAATCAGCGAGAACGAGCTGGACCTGAAGCTGGTGTCCTTCAGTAAGCTGTGCACCAGTTACAGCGGCTCTCGGGACGGCCGTAGAGGAGACAGGTGTGATGCCACTGTACCTCATCCAAGGAATTGTAATGTTTTCTAAATCTCATTAGAAAGATTATGGTGGTGGTAATAATAATAACACTGTTCTGTTCTCTCTCTGTTCAATAGTTCGGATACAACACCTCTGCTCTCCAACTCCACCCAGGACAGAATGTTTGAGACCATGTCAGTGGAGATTGAGCAGCTGCTTGCGAAAGTAAGATCTCTGTAAAATGTGCCAATGTTAGGTGCTATATGTTTTCTTTATAGTCTTCCAACCTGCTCCTCATGTATATTAAATTACGTATTGACTGATAAAGAGTGTTTTTTTTAGTGGTCAATAACTGATTTCTAGAGCAGGGTATATATTTCAGTATATACAGTACCACTAAATGAAAACAAATAAGATAAAAAAAAATTAATAAGTATGCAAATAAATAAGTACACAGTTTAATCTGAATGTATTTATTTGACACATTATTAATTAGATGATTTACTAATGGTTTTGTCTCACTTTGTTTCTGTGTTTTAAAGCTTACAGGGGTGAATGACAAGATGGCTGAGTATACAAGCACACCGGGAGTAACGTCTCTGAATGCTGCTCTAATGCACACTCTCCAGAGGCACAGAGACATCCTACAGGTGAGTTTCTCATCATTTATAATATGCCCAACTATTAATATACATGAATTTTAAACTACTGTTTAAAAGTTTGGAGTCAGTAAGGCATTTATTTATGTTTATTTATGCAATTATTCTTTTTTTAAAGAAATTAATACTTTTATATAGCAAGTATGCATTAAATTGATTCAAAGTGGGAGTAAAAATTGTATACTGTTACAAAATATTTGTTATATATATATATATGTATATATATATGTATATATATGTAAATCTCATATCACTAAGTTTATGGTCAGCATCCACAAAATGTCTGGCTACAGGAGAATGAATGTCCATCCTTCTAATAGAGCTCCTGTGCTCGTTGATACGGGTCTTTAATTGACGATTAGTCTTGCCAATATACTGTAGACCACATGGGCATGAAATAAGATAAATAACAAAAGACGATGAACAAGTGATAGTCTCTCTAATTTTGAATGTTTTCTGAGTGGTGGTGCTAGTGAAAGAATCCGTTTTAATTGCATTTTCACAAGCTGAACAAATCCTGCATGGGAAGAAGCCAGTGGAATGATCCAAAGTCACAAATTTGTTCTCCTTAATGAAGGTATCCGAACTGACTAAATTATCTCTTATGTTACGTCCCCTATAATGTGCACCAAATCAACATATTAGAATGATTTCTGAAGTTTCATAAAGGCAATGTAATGGCTGCTGAAAATTCATCTTTGTGATCAGAGGAATAAATAGCATAAAATGTTAAAATAGAACACAGTTATGTAGTAATGTTTCATAATGTTACTGTTTTTACTGCATTTTTGATCAAGTAAATGCAGCCTAGGTGAGCATAAAATACTTTGTTTATAAAGATTTAAAAAAAAAAAATAACCCCAAACTTTTGAAAAAATTGTGTATTTATTATGAAGACTGTATTCTCAAGATGAAAGGGCACTTCCTGTATTTGACATCACTATAGCTGGCCTTGCTTATTTATAACCCCTTCATCTCTGTTTTCCTTCTGTAGGACTACACACATGAATTTCATAAAACCAAATCAAACTTCATGGCAATCAGGGAGAGAGAGGATCTTTTGGGATCTGTGAGAAAAGACATTGAGTGAGTTTTCTCTTTAATTTCCTTTTGAAACCAAAAAGGTTATGAAGATCGATTCCATCTAATGTGTAGTTAACCTGGATTAGGAAAGCTTGTATATGGAATGATAGTTCTCTCCAAAAACATGGTTTCTGCTTACAATTCAAGCTGTCTGGTCTTTATACCTCCATGCTGTTTCATCCCAGAGCAAAGCATAAATTAAAAAATTAGTTTAATCCAGGCCCTGATGAAATCTATGGATTTTTTTTTTCGCATTTCAGTATTCTTCTGAATGGATTTAAAAATGTGTTAAACTGATATGGGATTAACACACTCTTATTTTAGTATATTTAATAAACGAATACGTGAAGAACGTGCAAGCATTCTGTGAAGTTCTGCAGTCACCGATTTGACATGGTTCTGGTTGTAACCCTGAGATCGTGACTGCAGGGATGGATAATGACTTATTGATCTGAGCTGCAATGCTCTAGCACCTCTATGGGCTGCTTATTTAATTTTTGTGCCTTGAAATAGTTGTGGTACCATATATGATGAGAAAAACTCCATACTGCTCCTTGCAGTTGCTATTGAACTTATTTTTTTAGTCTAAATAAACTGACTGTCAGGGTTAGATTTGAGCTCAGTCCATCTCTCACAGCGCTGTATTTATAAAGCCCGTTTTTACACAAGTTAGGGCTATGTCCCTCTCTGCCTCATGTTCAGCTGCCTCCCACTCACCTGACCAGCAGTAAACTTGTTTACCCAGAATAGAGAACAGCACTTCGGCAGATTTTATTCACTTGAGCATCAATTTGAGTGGGTTACTCTTTGAATGTTGCACAGATTTGACCTAATCAATCAGTACTCTGATGAAATTATATATAACTCGGGAAAAGAGCATTCTGATTATTAATAACCTGAACATACATTGTTTTACTACCATTCAAATTTTGGAGTCTGTTAGATCTTTAAAAAATTACTATGAAAGAAGTCTCTTGTGCTCACCAAGGCTGCATTTATTTGATCAGAAATACAGTAAAAACGGTAATGTTTTGAAATCATTTAAAATAACTGTTTTCTATTTTAATATATTTTAAAATGTAATTTATTCCTGTGATACAAAGCTGAATTTTCAGCATCATCGTTACTCCAGTCTTCAGTGTCACGTGATCCTTTAGAAATCATTCTAATATGCTGATTTGCTGCTCAGAAAACATTTCTGATTATTATCAATGTTGAAAACAGTTGTGCTGCTTAAGATTTTTGTGTAAACCGTGATGCATTTTTTCCACAGTTTTTTGATGAATAGAAGGAACAGCATTTATTTAAAATATAAATCTTTTACATTAACATTATAAATGTCTTTACTGTCAATTTTGATTCCATGTTTAATGTGTCCGTGCTGAATAAAAATATTAATTTCTATAAAAAAAAAAGATATCTTCCAGATCCCAAAATTTTGAATGGTATACGTCTTGTTAATAGATCATATTATCTGAATCCCACTATTGTTAAATTTATTGATTATTGTACAGACACGATCTGTTGTAAGATTTTTACTTATTGTTTGTCAATATTGTTTGTCAAAGTCAACATCCTAATAATTTAATGTATTATTCTGCAAAATAGTGTAGTAGAAAGTGGTAATAATCATTCATTCATACAAGGTGTAATATTC